TTTTTTTGCGGTACGCGGGCCTCTCACTGTTGTGGCCTCTCCCGTTGTGGAGCACAGGCTCTGGACACACAGGCTCAGCGGCCATGGCTCATGGGCCCAGCCGCTCAGCGGCATGTGGGATCTTCCCGGACCGGGGCACGAACCCGCGTCCCCTGCATCGGCAGGCGGACTCTCAACCACTGCGCCACCAGGGAAACCCAAAGATTTTTTTTTTTCACTGTAGCATGATCTCCACGACATAAAATCATAAAAATTGCTTCTCTATTAGATGCAGAAATTTAGGAGCGGCAAGAATATGTTTTAGTTGTCAAAGTACCTAAGGCTTCCAAAAACAGGCTTTCTGAGGAAACATGGCAGAGAAGTGCGCTAAAGCTGTGTTGTTTCCTTTATACAGGAACACATTTGTCCACAGGAAACTTTGGAAGAAACCGTGGGGCTTTTAAATAACAGGGAGTGTGTGTTAATTTGTCATTTATTTTACTTCATATAGAGAATAACCACTTCAAAGGCACATGAGAGGTAGTTTAGGCCATGCTAACTCTGTGGCCAGGATCTTGAAAAAGAGATCACAATAGTAAATTCCAGTTCTATTTAGTGGTTCCTTCATTTTTCTCAGCTTAAATCTGAGCAAATGGTCTTAACACATGCCAGCAAATGGTTCCTCATTTGCCTGAAAATGAAGTTCTTTTGTAAGTGGTCATTACATTATACACAGACACAGATTCTAAATATTAAGGCATTAATATAGAGAAAGGTAACACCCCCGCCTCCTCACATATTTCCTGACCAAAACGTGTATTTGCTTTTCTTCATTGTTCCTTTATCTGGATAAGGAAATATAAGTTTGAAAGCTCTTTGGGGGTTTATTTTGTACCCTGTGCTATGATTAAACAAAACATGGACTCTGAAGTGTATTTCTTCTGATCACTTAGACTCTTACTAAATCAGTATTTGGCATTTTATTATCAGCATGTTAAATTGTTTTTCTTTCTTTCTTTCTTTTCTTTCTTTTTTTTTTTTTGGCTGCACCGGGCAGCTTGTGGGACCTTAGTTCATCAGTCAGGGATTGAACCCCATTCACCGCAGTGAAAGCGTCGAGTCCTAACCACTGAACCGCCAGGGAATCCCTAAATTGCTTGACATTCTTTTCTAGCTTTTCTGTTTAAGGTGACATACACTTATCTCTTTTAAGGAAATGTACTTTCTAGAGGTTTACTGATTCTTTCTGGTTAAGTAACAATACAGAGAATAAATTTGTCCGAAAGGCCATGGTGTTTATCATATCAGTAAAATTATACAGTAAAAACACAGAGGGATTAAATGACCTATGAGCAGTCAGAGAATCAGTGATGGAGTCAGTGGAATACTTGCATTAGCCTGAAGCTGTTTGGGTTTTTAGTGCAGTCCCCAGCTGCTGAACAACCCATTCTTGCCAGCTTTTACAATCACTGGTGCAGCTAAAGGAACCACCCCTCTCCGCTGCCAAACCATGTAGAATCTACCCCGCAATGAAAGCTGCCCACCCCCTCCACCCCCTAAAGATTCCTAACTCCTCACCCTAAAACGCCAAGATGCTATAAACAACCGGGAAAGTGCACAGGGTGCGCCCCACCCTGGCTACACCCTGGGGCTACCTCTGTCTCGTCCTGATACCTGGAAGGACTTAGTGAAAAATTATAGGCCAGAAACAGTGAAGGGAAAGAGTGTGAGTGGGGGAGAAGGGAGTCTTCCTGGAGTTCCTTAAGAAAATTATTATTTTTACCCAACCCCCCAAAATTATTTAATTAAGAATTTTAATGGGATAAATAGCATCTTCTTTTCTTTGCAAATCTGCTGCACATACAACAAATTGTTTTCTTGTTCATACCTCACTGAGGACAGGCATTGAGGGTCTGAGAGGTAGGCAGTTATGTAGGCACTTCTGGAAAAGGACAAATGGCTTGAGAAGGGAGTGAAAGAGGGAGCGGCACAGATGGGGAGAGAAGTTCAGAGTAAGGGATGCCAGAAACATTGAAACTTTCCCTTGCAGCGGCTCAACAACCTGCAAAAGTGGGATTAACTGCCTCTTTCCGGTCCACTATTAAGACCATCAGCCCACCATCATCAGTACTGTTAGCACAACAGACCATTCAGTCATTGACTCCTTTCTGCATTGTCCCGGAAGCCCAACCGGTTTTGGAGTGGCTATTGTAGAAACTGCACTCCAAGCCTAACCAATCATCTTCCAAATAAACACTGGAAACGCAAAGTTTGTTTCAAGTGCTATAGCACAGGATACTTATATTCAGGGAAAAATAAGTAAGGGACACAGCCATTTCCCAGTTTCTTTCGTTTGAGGGGTAAAGATTATGGATATGACATAGATTTTTAAAAGCTCTGATTTGTGTCTCTCAGAGAACTGGGCCAGTTTACTAACCTTTAAGTAACACAAGTTTACATTCTATGCTCCCAAACAAAACTTTAAAAAGGCCTCTTTTGAGTCATGTTAAATACAAAATAAACAGCTCTCCAGGGTGAGAAGCTGACCATTTCAACTGTCCCCTTATCCCCCTAAAAATATAAGGATAATGGCCTAATGGCATAGATATATAAAGGTAAAGGATTTTTTTTTATAATCATTACTCCCATGTACCTACTCACTGATAGCATATAAACAACTATTTTTATCCATGTAGAATAGGAAGGTCCTAAACAGATTACTAGTCAAAAACAGTATATGTAACTTAAAAGACAGACTGCCTATGGGTCCCCAGTTCACACCCAATAATATTTCTCTGCAAGTTACATATATTCTTCTCTGTGGACCTTTGGAAAGATAACTCTGCAAAACAGGGATGTATTGACATGATTTCTTATGCACATATTTCCATATATATGCAACAAAGCAAAACAAGTAAATGTAATGTAACTATGATTAATTAATTTAATAGAACTGTTAGGAACTTGGAATTTTCTGCAGTCCAGCTCCAATACTTACTGACTTCCTTATGAGTTATACAAACCTTATATTCTGGTTTAAGGAAAAAGGAATTTATTTAGAGGCTCAATTATAGGCCTACATTAGATAAATGCCCTTATCATTTCTCTCCCGTTCTAGTTGTCTTACTTTTATCGAAGTGCGCAATTACTGTAAACTTGAGCTTTATTCTCAACAGCTTCTGCCAGCTAATAAGGGATTTAGATAGGATTAAAGAAGATTAACAGAGAGGGCAAATGGAGGGTAAAATTTGTGTCTGCCCAATCACTGAGCAGATAACGTTTCCATGTCTTCAACTTGTCTTTGTAGAATCTGCTGTAACGTTATTACTCTAAGGCTGGCATTAACGTTTGTTTAAAAAAAAAAAAAGTAACTCCATAAAAACCATTAAGTCGTTTCAAAAGCAAAAGAGAAAAAAGATTTCAAACTAACCAAATCATACGTTTACAGAAATTAAAAGGGGAGATTTTACAATGGGAAAACAGGATTCTGTGTTAAAAAATAAATAAAAGCATGGTGCTCTGTGCTAATATTCACAAACTTTTAAAACGAAGCAAAACCAAACCAAAGTAACCCACCCCAACGAAGAGATGGTACAGCCAGCCAGCTTTGCGTAGGCAGAAGGTGGCCGCCCTGGGAGGGAGGGGAGGGTTTGTCCCTTCCCGGTCACTCGGCGGTGAAC